ATGCATCAAAATCACGTATTTTCACAATTCCAGAACCGGATCTCAGTCATGCATGGATGGATTTTGTTCAGATTTAGCACAATGTGTTGTACATATGCAGGTGCATTTCGGTCATGATCTGCTTTGAATGTATATGTCACTCAAATATGAACGGAACGGGGACGTGTCATTGACAATGACTTGTTCATACTTCATTTCCTGCCTGACTGACAAGTAGCTGTCACAGCATTCATTTTATGTGTCTGTCTGTGTCTTGTTTCTGGAGTGGGTGTACAAATCCAATACAGATTCAAAGAACATACTTTTTTCAACTCATGTGGTACCAAACGATGTTCATGTTACACATATCCAAACAGCACCTAGAAAGCTAAAAAAAAAATCTATTTGCATTCTATCATACTTCACTGTTCATAAGCCCAGTGAGGGGTCTCTACATGTTAAATCAGGAAAGTAAGGGGTGGGCTTGTACTTAGGGGTGGGGCGTATTCTTGCATATTCTGAGTTGCCCATTCCATCAAAACAAGGAAAAGTTGGTATTCAACACAGAATGTGTTGACCCTGGTAAATTTTTAAGTGATAAAATTGTTGCCTAGTCAATCTGGTATTAATGATATTGACTTACAGGAAAAAGGTGTTTTACCACCACAATTGGTTCCATTTGTGTGGTTCCGACACATTGCACAAATAAATATATAAACTTTCCTCCACCCACCATCAGAATAGAACTATAAATTCCATTGTCCAACAACAGTTGAAGTTGGTGGTTGTGTGATACTTTTACGTCTACTGTGGTATCCCAATATACCTTCCTGATGTAATTTCTCTCTGTTGCAGGTTATTTGAGTCTGTGGCTCGTAGCTGTATGCAACAAAAACAAGGACAAGGAATAACGCGGGAAACAACTGAAGCGCCTGCGTCATAGAACTTTGTGAAACTGATAAACTAACTACTGTCCATTTCAGCTGTAATGTTTTTTTCCTTCCCTATCAAGACTGGAATTATTCTTAATCACTTGTATAAGAATAAAAAATGCAATTTGTGCAAAGAAACGATAAATTGTGTTTTGGTAAGATTGTTGATGAGTTGAAGACATTTTTAATGATGTATCAGTATCCTACTCAGTCCAAAAAAGACACAAGTGATTATTACCATGGAAATATTTTTTTGGTTCTTAATATATATTAGATCCATAGTATACTTGTATATTTGTTGAATAGATTAGTTTTTTTTCCTGCCTGGTTTCAATGTTATTTCTTGATAAAAATGAGAAAATAAATCAACTTGTCTGAAGCATATTTCCAATTGTCTTGAACATACTTCCATGTGTGCATGTACGTGTGTAAGCTAATTACACTAGAAGAGTAATGTACGTGTAACATTGCCATGCATTAAGCTGTGTTATAGAAATTTGTTGTCATACAGTTATCAATCAGACGCGACGTCTATAGTAAGGTCATGTTGTATTCATTTCACTTTAGGAATACTTAAAACCACTATAACTACAAATCATTCCATAACCATGCCAAGTTGAAGATGGATATCTACAAAACATCACTCTGTTGATATTCATTAGTTCTGATGCTGTAAGTAATAGTGGTGTGAAATCTAATGTTCTTAAGACTGTTGGTTAACATGATCTTGTATCTTACCAAATTCAGCTAGTATGGCCAAAATCTTCAAGCATAAACCAAAGATTACATACAAGTTATTGTAATAGATAACTTCATCCATACTTAGATGTTGTCTGACATCATTACAGTTGCATTCGCACAAACTGTCTCAATAGGTGAGAATGTACACACAAAAATGAAACAAAATACAAATTACACTATATGTTTATTGCCATTATGCATGTCAAATTTAAATCTCTAAACATACACATACACTTTTAGCTCATTTGTACTTGATTTTTGAACATGTAAAGTCATAAATATTTTTAAAAAAATTATTCTAACTTATAAAATGTAAATTGAAGACGCTTGTCAACTTATTGTGCAAGACTAAATACTGGCACTAAGTATAGATATACCGGTACTTTTAAATTGATGTATCGGTAGTGAGGGTATTTGTTTTTCAGCCAAATGTAAAGGTTTACACAGCATAAATATTGGGAATACTGTCCTTTGATATATTCCGAAAATTGCCATAGTTTGAATGTGTTCATGGTGTCTCTGTCCACAGAGCCCTAGTCTTAGTGGTGTGATCTCACAAGTATTGTGTTGGTGGCTTAAATGAGCTCATAGTTTTAAACGCTTTAATGTTACACTAGGATCCCCGTATCCTGTGTTGGTGGCTAGAGTTCCTCTGACTGCCTATAAGGTTATGCCTGGGAACCTCTGTATACTGTGTCGGTGGCTGGAGTCAGCGTATTTCTATGAATGCTTTAAAGATTACACTCTGGAACCCCGGTACACAGTTATTTTTCCAATTTCTTCCAATTGTTTAACAATATCAGTCTCGAATTCAGCATTGTGTACACCAGTCAATTTAAAGGCGCTGTCTTTCTCAAGGGATGGTTCCACTGGTGGTTGATAATAGTGATCCCAGTTACCTTTACTAGTTGCACCAAAACCGAAGACATTAACCTGTCAAACAAATGTTAGATTTTAGAATAATTCAACCAATATTGTTGCTGAGACATCTGGGAATTTTACATGTAAACTGAACAACGGTGCTAGCAACTTATCATTTGCTACAAATGTCTTTAAAAGTGACTACTATGTTTGGTTGAGTAGCAGTTTATTTAAAAAAACATATTCACTCTATTAGTATATGTGCTTGAGCACATTGCACAGCTGGGTCTGGTCAAAATAAGTTGTATGTTAATGATCCGTTACGAGACGTACAATTATTTTTGTGTGTACTCCTAATGGAGCACATTCAGGGAAACTTACTTGATCACAGATGTGCATTGCAAATAATAATACCAGCATTCCTGTGGACGGATATCGACCATGTAATTCATTCCATGTTTTGTGCACATAATACATGAAAGCTGGATTGTAAACTTCAATCTGATGGAAATAAATACCAGTGAATTAGTCGATAATGTGAATGCTTTTGTTTTTATGGTGTAAAAACAAAAGGGTAATTGTCAATAACATGTAGAGGGCAGTGTATCCATTTTATTTGCTCAATAATGTTTAGAATATTTAAAATGCCTTTTAGCTTAGACATAAATATGTAATTTATGCCTTTATTTTACAAGGTCAGTGTTTTATACAGTCCTGACAATTTTGCAAGTTGTGAAATAGTGGTATTTGTTGGCATTAAACATTTCACTGGAGGTCGTAAAGTGGCTTTCACTGAACACCATTAAATCACACAAATTAAACAGTTTACAGTATATCTATGGGGTAATTGTTTACAGATTGAATAGATTATTTTTTTAGGAAATTGTTAACTACTATCTAAACTACCTACTTTGTTGTCAGCTGAGTTCAGTGGCATGGTCAATGTACAACTGAAAGCTTATATCACTTTCTATATACATGTATAGACAAGTTCTTCAAACATGCAAATACAAATTAATTTCAAAATTACCATTTTCTTGCTCACATTAATCTGTTTCCTCACTGGCATGTATGTTCTGTGAAATAATAAGCATTAAATAAGCTGGTTATTTGTCATGTAAATGAAGGGAATGTGATCAAAAGATAATATGGAACCTTAGCCTGGAGATAAAGCTTCTAATAATAGAGTAAATATGGTACATATACCTCTATTGGAGGTGTGCTTCTAATAGAGCAAATATGGTACATGTACCTCTATTGGAGATGTGCTCCTAATAGAGCAAATACAGTACATGTACCTCTATTGGAGGTGTGCTTCTACTAGAGAAAATACAGTACATGTACCTCTATTGGAGGTGTGCTTCTACTAGAGAAAATATGGTACATGTACCTCTATTGGAGATGTGCTTCTAATAGTGCAAATATGGTATATGTACCTCTATTAGAGATGTGCTTCTGATAGAGAAAATATGGTACATGTACCTCTATTGAAGATGTGCTTCTAATATAGAAAATATGGTATATGTGCTTCTAGTAGAGATGAGGAGATAAGCCTCTATTTTATTATTGGTGTGGGGGGGTAATTATAGTATCTTTTGCATTGCAAATTCTAATCTCTTAATGAGCTTATAACACTAAATGATTGTCAAACGAGGATAACTGCAATATATAAAAAAACTATTTATTATTAATAATCTAATCTTCACAACCTGCTGGGGTCGCATTTTGGATAATACATCAGCTTTGGGGGAAAACCAATAATTCTATCGGGGTCACCATTGTGTTTTTTTTTTTCACTGAATAGTTCACTTTGAGAACCCACATTATGCATGAATACTACTGTCAAAACATCACATTTCATTCAACAAGTGCAAATCTATTTTGGGTTATTTCAAAGCTCAGTAATGTGCTATACACATTTAATGATGGTCAATTTTGACGAAATAAGGGTATCCCAACACAATGTTTTTCTCTGAAAGATTGGCATTTCAACTATCTCCCCTTCCCTCCCCTTCCGGCTCTCCTCCCCTCCCCTTCTAGCCCCTCTCTTTCCCCCTTCCCTTTCCCTTCTTTTTCCCTCCTCTTCTTCCTCCTCCCTTCCCTTTCTTTCCCTCTTCCTCTCCTCTCCGTTCCTTTTCCTCTTCCCTTTCCCTTCTCTTCCCTTTCCCTCCTCTTTCCCTCTTCCCTTTCCCTTCTCTTCCTCCTCTTCCCTTCCCTTCCTTTCCCTTCCCCTCCCTCCCCTTTCCCTCCTCTTTTCCCTCCCTTCCCTTCTTCTTCTACCTCCATTCCCTTCCCTTCCACTCCTCTTCTTCAAATAATTGCATACCCACTCACCTGACGATTGTTCCTGTGGTAAGTGCACTGATCAGCCATGATACATCCAATGGCTTGAATGGAATCAAAACAAATTTAGTTTCTCCAATCACTTCAACAAAGCTTTCTGGGTACATAAAATGATGAGTCGTTCTACTTCCCACATCTTTTTCAAAACCTACTGTTTTCGCAGTATTCATTCTGTAAAAACATGAACTAAAAATAACTATATGGCTCTCGGTTTATATTTTGAGATAGATTTGATATCAATCTAAAATAAAATAGAAAAGGTCAACTATAAGCTACACACACCTCATAATGTAGTCATGACTGTCAATCAGTTGACCATACCGGCTGTCACGTAGATTACCAGAATTTCCCACAACAGCACATTGTAAACACCTATTACTGACATTTGTTGCATATGGCATCACGTCCGGTATTATCTCTAGAAGCTTGCCCACTAAGTTCCTTAAATCAGACGTACTAAATGTATCTTTTGATTGCTGTATTCTCTGGTAAAAGTAAAAATAAAGGACCTATGCTTCAGATCAGCGAAACATAAAATGGGATTGTGGAAAGATAAATCAGACAACAGATCAGATATAACTCAAGTTACCATAACCACAAGGAAATTAACATACATGTACACCATACAGTAATGGCAGCTTATTTTTTTTCTTGAAAGACATCTTGCATATATTATTATCTTCAATGAAAATATGGGTTTCAAAACAAGTTGAAACAAAATAATACTTTATTATATTATTTTTTATGGTCCTCAAAATGATGTTTTTTCACTAATTCACTAATTTATTGATGCTCTGTCCGTTTTTTGAAACTTTCAATGATTACTAGTACCGTAAAATCTGCATTAGAAGCCGCATCCCTAATATAAGATGCACCCATTTTTTTTGAACAATTGAGAACAAAAAATTCATCATTTCTCATATGTGTGTGTAGGTGCTCTAATTGAAGCCGCATCCCCTCTATTGTGTTGTACCATTTTAATATACCGGGTAAGCCGCGGTTTCCAATACAGATTTTACAGTATATCATTTATGAACCCTTAATTGTACAATGATAAAAACAATAGTTTTCTAAATTCGGCAAATTTTTATGCCTATTTTTATGTTTTATTATTGGTTCCACTTTGAAAGATATTGTTTTAAATAATTTTTTTTCACTTGGTCAAAATTAATAAAAATATGAAATAAAAAAATTCAATTTAAGAAAGTGCCACTATTTTACAAATTTCAAAAAGGTGTAATCCAAGGTGACTACATATTAAATATGAAAGCAATCAAGGTTAGCAGTTAATAATGACAAAATTATTCACTAAAATTTTAGAATTGTAGTGGGTATGAAACCCATACAGCTAAAGTTGTAATGTAAATTTGATGGCAACAGACTATGACGACGGACAACCAGTAATATGAATATTTCCACTTTGATGACTTTGTCAATAAAAATTGACAATTGGTTGCATCGTATCGTATTTGCTCTATTCAAAACGCATCTCTATGTGAAAGCACATTACAAAAGCACGAAAAAACAAATCACCTGAAAAACATGATTTCATTTTAACTTTCGTTGCTATTTTTTTATATATAACATTTCCTCTTAATTGCAGATATTTTCACAAATGAAGGATATTGCAACAAAATTTATGGTCTGGTGACTTTTTTTTATTTAATTAAGTACTTAAAATAAACGTAATTGCTACAATATTTAATTTTATAGTGACAGAGATAATGTGGAAACCTTTATGTATTTTGTAGCATGTTTGAATACTTTTGTTTGGTATTGCATTTATATAGTAATCGTATGATTTATTGTAAATAAAACAAGTTGTTTTGACAGCAAATGAATGAAAGCATGTTTTGTTATTATAAATCACATGAAACATGCCCTGCAATATAATAAAGTATTCAAAGTTGTCCCTATTTTCTTTTTTTCACCCAAATTTTGTATGTATATTTCTATAATTTCTAGACTTGCACTTCATGTGAAGCAAATGTAGAATTTATCATAGTTACCCATTGTGACATCTGTGTATGTGCTACTAATGGAGCAAATACTGTAATTTCCCATCAACATCTTTGTTAAAACAAATTATGGAAAAAAATACAGAAGAAATTTGGTGTGTTCATTTAGTGTCACTTACCAACCACCATTGTAATGCTTCAGGTGTCATTTCTTTATGTTTGCTGGACCATATAGTAGAAATGTTAGAGTATCTGTCATCAAAGAATTTGTATTCACCTTTCGTCCACACAGGCATCCTCGTGCAATTACTTGATAACAGGGTTGCTGCCGTAAACGAGTCTTTCAATCTCGCTGTTGATTTCATATTAGCGTTTGAAACTAGTATTGGGGAATATAGTTTGTACATCAAAGTGAAAAGTGAAAGTAGAAAAATCAATGCGATAAATGTTACCACTGGCAATCGACGACGTACTCGTGAGTAGGACATAGTTTAAAAAGTTAGAAGACAGTTTAAAAAGAAAGTCTTGAAATTAAATGAAGCCTGTTGAGCAGTTGACATCTGGTAACCATCCTCATGGATTCCACAAAGTAATTCAGCAAACTGAAAGCGCTGTCCTCAACTTTAGTTCATCTGCTCATTCAAAATGACTCCCTAACTGTCTGAAAAATAACTGATTGCTCAAGCATATTTTGGTTTCATTTTTCAAACAAGGCATCGAATATTAAGGAATTACGGTGACTTGTATTATACAGGCTCAGAACACGAATTGCCATGTCGACAGGATAAGAGATTACAGTAGCTTTAGGTTGCCACAAAATTCAGATTATATAAATCTACTCGTGAGAGATGAAGGATTAACGACTTAAAATCCTGGAGCAAACTTAAAGCTCAATTATAATTGATGGTGAAATCTTCATCTTTGCATTGTCATGACAACGATTAGGAGTACCTGTTGAATAGTTAATGGAGCGGAAAAATAAGTTACTTATGGTCGTACTAGTGTATATAATCCTGTCAACTCAATATAAGGTGAAGACGGCAGAGTAGGATTTCTCGGGGAGAATTTTAAAATAAAATTGCTACACAACCACATCTGTAGGTGTATCATATACCTTATTCTAGAGGGTCTATGGTGAGTCTAAATAAAATATGGAGATATGGCAACAGCTGGTGGCTTTTAGAGTAGATGCTTAGAATAAATATAGGTGTGTATTTAAATGAAAAACTGCATTTTATCTTTTTTTTTTCATCAATTTTCTCATCACAATTTGGTCACCTTAAATTTAAGTTTTAATCATTTTTTTGGCATTTCTGAGAAAGCTTTCTATATCTCTTCTTTCATAGTCAACATATTTCCAATCTTCCTGATACTGACTAAAAATACTATGTATCGGTATCACACATAATTTCAACACATAAACAGATACAGTCAACTTCACGAAGGCATGAATGTTTTTAATGGAAAGTTTTGAAGTACATACATAAATACTTACAGACTCTCGCGCTTCATTCAAATCCGAAGAAGATGCCTGCATTGCCTGTAGCCATGATTGATAAGTCATTTCCCATGAGTCTTTGCGGATTTCATTCAATCATTTTTATGACTTGCTCTCATACAATCTTTGGCAATATGATTGGTGGAATTGTTATCAATTTGAAATTCATAAAAAATTTTATGCCTTCATAAAATTCTCTGTATGTCATGACAAAATTCCAATTCAAATAAATAAATTTTACCTACCGATATTAAATGATACCACTGCACATCTAAACAAACTGGAACAGACTGCCACATGCAGAAAGCAATATTTCTGTAATAGACAAAGAATTATGCATTGAAAAAGAGATCAAGTTGGTTGACATATGTCACCATTATTTGGACACAGAAAGTACACAATACTCTCGTTATAATGTAATGTCATATTTATAATAAAAATATAATGTTGGAATATGCATTCATTTCTTGTTGTAAATAAAGAACTTTTAAAATACAGCAGTTATATGTGTACTGGGAATAAATGTATGTAGTCTCATAACCAATTAATTTCACCGATACTTGCATATGAATCTGATATTTGGGAATGGATTAATGAAATTCATTGGAGTAGCTGTAGGTTTACAATAATTTTTACCATCTTATTTTGGGTGTAGGCAAGATGACACCACTAATTGGTATTTGAGGCGACGTGGGTAGATTTCCAATTAGGATAAAAACTGACATTGCTATGGTTGAATATGGCGGTAGGATTTCAATGCAGGTAATCCCATTCTACACTCCCGTGCATTAAATAAAAATATTAAAAATAATAATTCAGTTTTAACATATTTACTGTCGGTCACCATAATTTATTACCGTATATATTATAAAATTGAAATATAAAATGCAAAACTTACATTGTAACCTGAAATGAACATTAGTGCTTATGGCAGGGATTGGAAAGGAAGTTATAAACGTAAGACTAATAATTCATTCAAGAATAAAATTAAATTAGAAAAATATCTATGTACAATAACAAATTCTAGTCAACGCCGTTGTTTAGCCAAATTATGTTTGAATGACCATAACTTGGAGGTCAAATCAGGAAGAAAAATGAGAATCTTCTAAAGATTATTGAAAGATGAAATCAGTGAGAAATTTAAAAATAACAATATAGAAGATGAAGTGAAGTAAACTTCATCCTAAATTGTAGTTGTATATTTAAAATGTTATTTTGAGAATGGAGGTTAAATGAAAACTATATAAAAGAAAAGTTAATTGAAATCATGAAAAAATAACCATATTGCACTATTAAAATACATTAATAGGACAATTAATTTACAGCCCTGATAAATGATGTTAAATAGAGTTTGGTGTTATTGAAAAAATTTTACATTTCGATTTGTTGCTATTTTAAGCACATATTATTGCAGTACATTGTTATATTTACCATACTGTTTCACAGATGGTTCAGTTGTGTAATAAGGTTGTATTGTTATTCTATAAGCGTGCGTGTGTGCATGTGTGTTGTTAGAACGATGGCAAGATGTGTAGATAGAAGCATGTGAGTGCTTAAACTGCATCATTGGTGTGTGTAGATAGAAGCATGTGAGTGCTTAAACTGCATCATTGGTGTGTGTAGATAGAAGCATGTGAGTGCTTAAACTGAATCATTGGTGTGTGTAGATAGAAGCATGTGAGTGCTTAAACTGAATCATTGGTGTGTGTAGATAGAAGCATGTGAGTGCTTAAACTGCATCATTAGTGTGTGTAGATAGAAGCATGTGAGTGCTTAAACTGCATCATTGGTGTGTGTAGATAGAAGCATGTGAGTGCTTAAACTGCATCATTGGTGTGTGTAGATAGAAGCATGTGAGTGCTTAAACTGCATCATTGGTGTGTGTAGATAGAAGCATGTGAGTGCTTAAACTGAATCATTGGTGTGTGTAGATAGAAGCATGTGAGTGTTTAAATTGCATCATTAGTGTGTGTAGATAGAAGCATGTGAGTGCTTAAATGGCATCATTTATATATAAGCGTGTACATTATTATTTCTAGTCAAATGCTTGTTTCACAACAGTACTGCGTCGTCACAGATTTGTTATGCCTGTCAAATTCAGTTTAAGGTTTTACTTAATTATTTCAATAATTTTTGTCATCTTTTACAAAATAAACTTAATTATTTCAATATTTTGATCAAAATCTGTTGCATCCAAAGTAAAATAATGTCCATTTTTCCAAAATTAACAACGAATTTATAGAAAATCCCACACCAAATATCCAAAAAGTTACATCAAAATTTTTGCTGCGCATATGTAAATATTAAAATGAAATCATTGATACTGTGAATACAAGATTTTGTGATAAATATTTTTACAGTCAATGACAAACTGTTACTACATTCTTGTCTGCAATATATTGTGACTGTAATGTAATGTATCACATTTTACAAATTTATTTATTTTTAATCATTTTGTTGCAATTGTGAAGTAGACCCAGCTTGAATGAATAGGTACTCGTAAATCATGGTCATGTGATAGCTAGGGCATATAAACAATAATCAAAAACTAAATTGTTCCACAGCTGTTACGAATTAGGTGTGTTTCGGTCAATAGAATTACTGCTGTGAATATGCATATCTTAAAGGGCGGTGGTCGCTGCGTGTGTTCGGATTTCATGTAAACAATGTATTTTACCCACATTGTGTACGCCACTATGAGTCCCATATCGAACAAGACGCAGCGCAATGACCATCGCCCTCTGATTAGTATATATTTAGCATATTTAGTGTTGTCGGTATTTTGATCTCATACCCTGACGTAACCGGATATATAACAATGTACATTCTTTTGATCGTCTATTTGCCAATTCAAGAGAGCTGGTGTACAAAGAATAAGAAATTCACAAGTATTTTTTTTTTTGCGGCCATTGGTTACGCTGATCTGACATACAGGAATACGTAATCTGGGTTTGAATTCTGAATTCTTCATAAGTTGACAAATCCACTGAGTTTATTCTTTTTTTGGGGGGGGGGGCTGTTACATCCGCAAATGAATTGACGCAGAATACTAATATCATAATATAAGAAAGTTCATTTATGGGACAAATGTAAAAAGTTCATTAATGGGACAAATGTAAAAAGTTCATTAATGGGACAAATTTTTAGTAACAAAATCAACATCACTTAGTAATTTGAAAAAAATAAAACTGTTGCAAATAATACTCCTGATTAAAATGCCGTAAATCAAGCATTAGTGTAACGAGAAAGACAATGCATGGAATTCATATACAATTTATTCAGTGTTGGATGCAAAAACTATCTAGCAAGTTACGAGTACCTTTCTAGCTTAATTTAGCATGTACATTTCAGGAAAATATTCATATTTGGCACATGAGAATTAAATCACAACATTGTAAATTTTTGAATAACAAATTTTGTAGACAAGGTTTTACACTGTCTGTAGTTAATTGATGGCCAACAAAATAATTGTAAAATATATTATTTTCATTGGTCACCATGTTACTTTGTTATTAGTTAGGCCAGACTTTTATTATCTCTTGTTTCGTGAACCCGCCAAATGAACAGGATCCGAAAATGAAATAAAAATATAATTTTATTTCAGCGTAATTTCTCGCGCCCGCCGACTTGTAAGCGCAAAAAAATGCTAAAAAATATTATTTTTATCTTTATTTTTTTTACCGCCCGCCGCATAACAAATCCAAGTTACATTTTCGTGGGAGTATCATGATCAAAGTACCGAAGTCTCGTGCAGATAAGAAACAAGGTTATACATGGAATAAAATTTTATTTCATTTCTTCTCTCCGATCAATGATCTCACTTACAATTCTTTGAGAATCACACAAATCTAATGGAAAAAAAGAATGATTTTTTAATTTTTTTTTCCGCCCTCCTCAAAAAAATTGCCTTATAAACCCTCGCGAAACAAGGAATAAAAAAGTCTGGTCTTATTTGTTGTGTCACTGTAGTATACTGGACTAATACACTTTCAACTACCGGTATTGATGATGGGACGTACATAGAAAAAAAAATTATTTAAGCTGACTTCATCAGGTTTTTGAAAAACTAAACGATAATCGCAATTGTTTTCACATTCATACATCAAGGCGATTATATAATCAACAAATTTCAGTATTCCATATTAGAAGCATTTTACAAAGCCTTTTTCTTTAAAAAAATCAGAAATGCAAACAAGACTGATATAGATAAAAATATATTGTATAGAAACTGCATGCGATAACATTCGTGTAAACTTGTTATTAAAAATT